AGACTGCCCACCCCCCACACCTCCTAACACACATTTAGCTATGGTTATGCTCGTCACTGAGGAGTTTAGTGTCCCCTGATCCCATCATCTTCCAGGAGCCCCACTTGGGGTGCATGAGGGGACATTTTCAATCTAAACCTAATAAATGGTTTGTGGATATTTGAGAGTGGATTTATTTCCCCCAGGCACTCGATTGATAATTTAACTAAGTAGAATGAGAGGTTTTCAAAATCATTTTTCTCTCACCCTTGAAGATGTTCGCCGTCCTCTGACACTTAGTGTTGCTATGAAATGCTCTCCGTCTTTGCAAGTGGACCTTTTGGGTGTGTGTGAAAACTCTTTATCAATGTTGCTCTGAAATGTCTTGAGGTGTGGTGATTTCAATTTATTCTACTTAGTGCTCAGTAGACTGTACTTTAAAGCCAAATGTCTTCTTTAGCCCCTCCACGAAGATTTGCCCATTTTCTCTGACTTTAAATGACCACATTAGACCTCTAAATCGATTCTCTACATTGCACCTCTCTCTCTCTTTCTCTCTCTCTCCCTACCTCCCTCCCCTCTTTTAAGATGGACATTTCATTTCCTTCCAGCACTTTCACAGGATTATTGTTCAGTGATCAATTGTAAATTTCCAATGTTTCTTATTCTTGGGATTGTTCTTCCCCTATAAAATCTTGTCACATTTGTTCTCAAAATTTTTTGATGCTATTCAAGTTAACATTTTGATGTTCTTTTTTCTGTTTCTTACATTACACCTTTCCTCTGGTACCAGTGTTCATTTTGTTTTTCACAAAATAAATCCTTGAAGTTGTTGATTTTGTCCATCATTTGTTGCTGTGGTCTGAGGTGTCCCTTTCAAATTCACAGGTTCAAAGTAACTACCAGGTGGGGCCATCAGGAGACTTACGGCGTGGGGTTGGGCCTTATGGGGAAGCTCAAGGGGGCTGTTCGTCTATCGTCCTGAGACAGTACAGCCACAAGGTGGGGTCTCAGGGCCTGGGGACAGCAAACCCCAAGCCCCAGAACCTCCGGGAGCATTCTGGGGTGGGCCCAGGCCTTCCATGCTTAAGCCTTGGGGGCTTCCGGATCCAAACTGTAACTGTTTCCTTGATCGTCCTTCTGATGGGGGCTAGGTTTTCTTTTCCCGGTTCTTTGCGTGCCAATTTAGATTTATCCTGGCCATCAGAACTATTACGTTGTCCTGGGAACAAGTGGGACCAGTGAACTCTATGGTAACTTCACCAAGAGTATTGATTGTTTTAGCAATCACTTTGGATTAAAAAAAACCAAACCCATAAATCTTGAGTAGCAGCCCGTTTCAGTTCATTTGCTTCAGTCTCAGCTGGCTGCTTGCAGTTCTCCTAATCATGCCTGTTTTCATGGCAGCTGGACTTAGCAAGTTTCCCTTTGGCTCTCTTCTTTATTCCAGCCTTTCCTTACTTTCCAGCAGTTTTGGTTGCCTTGAACTTTGTCCTCTGGTTCTGCTGGACAGAAATAATGGGGCTTTCCTGTTCCGTATGCTGCATGTGGTACCAGCTTCAGCCTGGCTTGCACCCAAGCAAATCAGCGATTCCGAGTTTCAGTAATGTTTGTCACCTGCTTTTGTGCACTCTCAGGGACTTTTGAGTGTGTGTGTGTGTGTGTGTGTGTGTGTGTGTGTGTGTGTTGCCTGGCGTATATGGTATTGACCTGAACTGAGCTGGAGCAGATCTGATAAGGGATCACTTAGTCATGGTGAGTCAGAATTCTCTAGTTTTAATAAACTAATTCCAGTATATTTTCCTATTACATTATTTGTGCTTCCCTAAAAATGTGTGAATAACAGTCGTGGTGGTCAGCAGCTGTCAGACTAGGAGATTGTTCATAGCTGGGACATTGGCTGTCACTTCTACATAAGAATAGTTTTTTAAATTATGCTAATATTTTCTCGACTATATTAAGAAAGCATTTTGTGTAATTTTATCAGTAATAGTTGTTGAATTTGTCACATGTATCTACTGTATGCAGCTATTAGAATAATTACATGGTTCTTTCCCTTGTTTTAGCCTGTTAGGTGGTAAATTATGACGCACCTGCTAGAACCCTCTGAGTTCCTGTGACTTTATTTGGCCATTGGGAATTGTTAATAAATACAGTGTTGATTAGCATTTTATTTCAAATTTGGGCAAAGTCCTGGAGTTGTGGTGAGAGCAGCTTGGAAATTTAGATTTATTTTGGCTTCAATGTTGGTAGGATGTACATGTCCAGGAATTGATCTGTTTCTTACAGGTTTTCTAATTTATGGATTTATAGTTGCTTATAATTCCTTATGATGCTTTGTATATCTATGTTATTGTAATTTTCCCTTTTGATCTTAGATTTGAGTCTTTCTTCCTTTGTCTAAAGAAAGATTGCTGATTTGTTTTTTCAAAGAACTTATTTTGTTGAGGTTTTATATTTTTTAGCCTTTGTCTATTTTGGTTCTTATCTTTATTATGTCTTTCCTTCTACCAATGTTGTGCTTGGCTCATTCTTGCTTTTCTGGTTTCTTGAGGTGTATCACTAGGCTATTTGTTTGACATTTTTCTACTTTTTTGATATAGTTTTTTTGTTTAAACTTTCTCCTTATTACTACTCTGCTCTACCCCATAGGTTTTGATATTTTGTATTTCTGTTTCCACTTGATTCAAGAAAATTTTAAATTTCTCTTTTAATTCTTTCATTGACCCATTCATTACTTGGGAACACATTGTTTAATTTCCATATATTTGTGTAGTTCCAAAGTTCATCTTGCTATTGATTTTCAGTTTTATTCTATTTTTGTCTGAGAAGATATACATAATTTTGACTTTTATAACTTTTCAGGGACTTATTGTGTGGCCTAACATTTTCTCCATGGGTAAGGTTCCGTGTGCTCATGAGAAGGATGTACATTCTGCAGTTATTGAATGAAGTGTTCTTTAGATCTCTGTTAGACCCATCTGGTCTAGGGCATAGCTTATCCCTGATGTTTCTTTGTTCATTTTCAGCCCTGTCTGTCTACTGTTGAAGTAGAGCACTGAAGTTCTAAACTGCTATTTTCTTGGAGTCAATCTCTCCCTTTAGATCTACTACTTGTTTCATGACTTCGGATATTATGGTTTGGAATGCATATAAAGTTGTAGTTGTTTTATCTTCTTGAACTGTTTCCTTTCTTTTTCATAATATTCTTCTTGGTGTCTTTTCACAGTTTTTGACTTGATGTCTAATTTACCTGATATAATAGTACAGCTACTGCTGACTACTTTTGGTTCCCATGTGTGTGGAATATCATTTTCCATTCCTTCACTTTCTATCTGTGTGTGACTTTACCAGTAAAGCGGATTTCTTACAGATAGCACATAGTTTTGTTTTAGATAATCTTGTCTTCCTCTAACTGTTTGTCTTTGTGGTTTAGTGCTGTCTGCAGTGATACAGTCTGATCACTTTCTTTTCTTATTTGTGTATCTGCTGGATCAGGGAGTTATACTTTTATGTGTCTTTATGGTGGTAATTATCATCTGTTAGCTTGCCTTATGTCTTCTAAGGCAAGTCTAGCAGTGACAGAGTCCCTTAATTTTTGCTCATCTTGGATGGCCTGGTTATTCTTTTAAACTCCTTGTAAAGATAGTTATTTGATACTTCTTTAAATTTCTTTCAAGAGTTATTGGCACAGGCCAGGGATTTAGCTCAGTGGTGCTGCACCTGCCTGGCAAGCCCAAGGTCCTGGATTCGATTCCCAGTAAGAAAAAAAGTTATTGGTATGCTCAAATTTTTTCCCTTCTCAAAAGAATTTTGGTAAGTTTTCAGGGCCAGGGCTGTAGCTCAGTGGTGCTGCACTTGCCTGGCAAGCGCAAGGTCTTGAGTTTGAGCCCTGGTACTGGAAAAAAATTGGGGGTAATTTTTTGTCTTTCAAGACATCCTGATTTTATCCCTCTCACCATTTTCTTTTTTAACATTCTCAAATTTATCTTTTTTTTTTTGTTTGTTTTTTGGTACCAGGGATCAAATTTAGGACCTGGCATTTATGAGGCAGGCACAGCACCACTGAGCTAAATCCCTGTCCTTCAAATTTATCTTTTATATCCAATCAAGAATAAACGCCTTCCTTCTCACAACATACTGTTTTCCTAGTCATCTTATATAACTTCTAAGCTATGTTCTTGGTCTTTCCTGACCTGCAGTCATCTTCGTATCTTCCATTAAGGTCTTTCTCCTCTATGAGATAATTTTTGTCTATACTCTTTCTTTCTCTCTTTCTTTCTTGGCATGGTTTTACTTTGTAGTTCAGGCTGGTCCTGAACTCACTCTGTAGCCTAGGCCAGCCTCAAACTACAGCAACCGTCCTGCCTCAGCCTCCTGAGTGCTGGGATTACAGGAATGGGCCACCACATTTGGCTAATATCTTTCTTTTCTAAGCTGTCCCTCATTTATAAGTTTTATTTCTAGCAATATTCCTATACTACATCATCTACTACTGTTCTGTGTATACTAACCATATCTATCTAACAATAATGTGACCTCTTTTTAGGCTAGATTTTTGTTTCATATTATCCAGAATGAAATACAGTCTATACCTAGTGCACCCCAAAAAAGAAAAAAGCAAGGTTTTAAATTTGGTTTGTTGATGCAAATCACAAATTACACAATTCATATTTACATATGCATATATATATTTGACAAATGCATATTCTATGTTTTAATAAAAATGTGTAAACTTCATTTGAGAGAATAAATTAGGAAAACAATAGTATTGTTTCTAGTTTATCCTCTTTTACTGAGAACTATTCTGCCCTACATACTGTGTATTAGAAAGAGTAAAGTTTCTGTTAAAAGAAAGGACTTCTTTTTCTTAGTATTTAAATTTTAGTCTTAACCTACATTTGCGGAAATAAATTGTACATTCATATAAAAGTTAAGACAAAGGAAACAGAAGTGAGCAGAATGAGTCTCGCTCTTACTCTTTTAACTTCTCTATATTATATTTTTTATAAAGTGGTAATGATCACATACATCTCAGAGGAAGTTTTTTGAGGATTAACTGAAATATTATAGTTGAAAGTTTTTAAAGACCCAGACAGCTGTTAGTTATCATAATAAATAATCCAAAGGTAAATAATCGAGTACAAAATAGTTGTCAAGATGCACGCAATTTCTGAGATCGTTTTCCATTTTTCTGATGCTTAGGCTGAAAATTCCCTGCAGAGACAAGGATATCGACGATCATGGAGTCCTTCAGTCTTTTCTCCTGTACTCAGCAATAGATCAAATGCTTATAAAAAGGAAAAAGACTCTGCTTCACTTGCAGGTATATAAAGTGCACATTTATATCAAAATAACTTAAAGTTAACTGCATCCAAATTTAGTACTGCGAAACTCTTGCCACGGAAATGATTAAGACTTGGCTGGACCTTAATGTGCCATTACTGAATGACACCTAAAGATTCTGCTGCAGGCGGAGAAGTGAAGATTCTGTGCTGTCACGTGCGCTCTTTCAAGCCCCTTTCCCGTCTCTTATCTGCCCTACTGATTTCCTAACGGGCTGTTCTGAGTACTGCGAGACTGGATCTGTTCTGTTCTCCTGCTCAAAACGGACTTCTCTACCTGATACTTGTTCACCTTTCATAGGAGACTTTGGGCTGCTTAAAGCCTGACAACAGGCACCTCAACAGATACTTAGGACCTCAGATAAGCAAGAAGTCTGTCAGGAGGCAGTTCTGTGCTCGGCTGATTCAGACTTAACAATGTCTCAAAGGCTACTTCTCCCGGCTTGTCACCTGTCCTAGCAGGTAGCTCGCTCTCCGAGACTTGCTGTACAATACGGTAACTACTATTCAAGATAACTGGATAACAAAAGCCACTGAAAAGAGAAAAGCTTTTCTTTTGTCTCTGTGACAATAAGAAAAGTGTTCCACCACGGTAGCCTTGGCTAGAGTAGTCCCAAGTGTTTGTATCTAAACTAACACATCGCTATTGTCTTAGAGCAGCTTTTCCAACTTTTATAACAACTCACAGCAAGAAATACAAATCACATGGGCCGGAGATTTAGCTCGGCGGTTTGGTGGCCTGCCTTGCAAGCGCAAGAACCCAAGTTCGATCCCCGGTACCAAAAAAAGAAAAGAAATAAAATCACAACCCAACATGCATCAGGTTTCCCATTAGAAATGTAAAAGCTATGAATGTTTAAGGTGAAGAAGGACTAGCTCAATGGAATCATAACCATTTCGGTGTTGGCTGAGCTTCACTGTAGCATCTTTGTTTCACTCGCTGTTTCTGAGGACGATGCACGTACGGATTACCACCTCTAATGCTGTATCCCACGTCAGTTTTTAAAATGCTGGTCATGAACCACTGAATCGGCTCCATAAAACATAAGTGGGGAGAGCTCACGTCTTTGAAAGTGCACGGTTATATCACTGAAGATTTGCTCCCTTGAGCTGAGAAGAACCCGGCCTCCTCCCCCGGGGTGGGATCTTAACGGTGGAGGGGTGGACAGCTGAGCCGGTTGCTGGTTGCGGCGTTCTGATATCGCAATCGGAAGTGGGGTCGCACTCACTCAGCAAATGTCTTGTCTTTTAACAGAAGCATTGTATATAATTTGTATAACATCAAGTTAAACATTAGATTTAACCTTAACATTATATAACGTCAAATTTAACATTAAATTTTATATAATTTAAAACGTCAAAGTCACGTTTTATAATTTTCTTTTCAAGAAAGGAGTCCTGGCACACTTGAGCCAATATAAGTAAACTTGTAATCCCCTTTCTTTCTGCTCCCAGCTGTTATTTTGTCGTCCTTCTGAGGAGCTCTTTTAATCTCAAAAGTCTGTATTTCCTGTTCTTAGGCAGCTCTTGTCACCGTGTTAATGTTTCCATTCGAATTCTCCATCTTGAATTAGTGATTCTAAATTCTGATAACTAGCGGAGACACAACTACCCAATAATTCTGGGAGGTTCCTATCCCTTGTTTGTGGTTGCCCAGGGTTATTTTTGCATAATTAGACTCCTTCGTGTGTTCCAGAGAGTTTAGACAGACCCTGGCTTGGAGTTCTGGAGTGGAGAAATAAGACAGAGGACAGCATCCACAGAGTATTTAAACCCCCTCATATCCGTCTGGGAGAAAACCATATGAAATATGTTTGACCAAACTAAATAAGGTTACCATGTTCTCATTGCCTGAAGTACATATTTTTCCTCTTCTCCTGTCTTTTCCCTGCTTTCCAATGTACTCAAGAAAATTTAAAAATTGCAATGGATCAATTTGAAATATTTTATTTCCTAAAAGCTTTTTTGGCTGTTGTAATGTGTACACACTTCTTGTCAGGAGAGACTGAGAGTTACCTGAATAGGCTGAAAGTTTAGGCAAACAAATTACAATAAAAGAGATACTTTGTGTCACGGTTTGTGTCTGGTGTCCCCCCAAAGGCTCACGGGGTCATAGGTGGGGCCTTCAGAGGTGGTGTGCGCTGCTGGGATGGATTGTGGTGCAATGCTAGGATTAAGGGTGTGAGTGCTGCCTGTCCTTAAGGTGAGTCATAAGGAACAGAAAGAGCAGGGTCGGGATTCGCCTTCACTTGATTTGTTGTTTTCTGCCTCCATGGACTGTTTCTCCTCTGTGACACCACCCTACCTTGGAGACAGCTGGCTGGACTGAAACCTCTACCAAATGTGAGCTAAATAATCCTTTCCACCTTTAACTTTGGGTGTTGGGTGTTGTTTTGTCTTAGCAATGAGAGAAAGTAACTAACACACTTTGTTTCTTAAAAAATAAATAAATAAAATCTTCCAATTAAAACTTCTTCGAGGAGCTGGGGGTATAGTTCAGGGGCTTGTGCCCGCCTGGCAAATGCAAGATCCTGAGTTCAATCCTGGTACCAGAAAAGAGAGGGAGAGGAGAGAGAGAGAGAGAGAGAGAGAGAGAGAGAGAGAGAGAGAGACTGACTGACTTCTGGGCAAGTGAAATAAATTTAATTATAGTAATATCCCAAAAAATGTTTGTCCAAGATTAATAACAAAAACAGAAAATGGAGAAATATTTATTAAATTGAGAGTATACAGGACATTTTATTCTGAACTCAAAGAAAATCTGCCATGTGTTACAAAAAGAAACAACTTGAAAGAAAATAAAAACTCTTTGAAACAGGATTTAAAAATGTAAAAGATAATCAAAGACAAAATGATTCCACCAAAGCTAAAAATACCCTGAACTCAGACATATTATCTGGCTCATGTAATCAGTCCATGGTCAGCTGGCTTCAAGGCAGGAAGGGCCAGGCCTGGGCAAGGGAGAGCAACTTACCCCATGGCAGACAGGAAGCAGGAGAGAAGGGAGGAGCTGGGGAGGGAGACACACCCTCAGGCCACACCCACAGCGACCGCTCTTCTGAAGGCCCCGCCCCCTAACAACAAATTGGCTATGAGCCCCAGAGTCCAATCACCTCCCAAAGCCCTGCCTCTGAACACAGGCTTTGGGGGGACACCTAGATCTGAACTGTGCACCTTTATCCCATGAAAAGTTCATGTTTAGTCTGAAAGCAGCATGTTCAATCTTGTCTATTCAAAATGTGCTCACCCCTGCCACACATCCATGTTATTTTATAAAAAATATTTCTAAAGGCCATAACAGATGCACCTTTTAAGAAGATCTTTTATCATTTTAGTTCAACCTGAAAACAAAACCAGTAAATCCCTGGATTCCACTGGCCATTTGGAAGATTCTGGAAATAGCAGGTACTAACTATCCTTTTAAGGTTTTAATCTTGGGTTCTATTTAATGATGTCTCTACTACGGTGAGCTCTGATTGCGACTCACAGTAGATCAGAGTGAACTGATTCTGGTGGATTTATTAACATGTCGTCCCACGGTGCCACCCAGTGACTAATCCAAGACTGCGCAGTCAGCTGGCAGCATGTCAAGGCCTTGGGCCTTGATGGACAGAAGGATGGGAATAAACAGAGAAAGCATTAACCTTTTGTAGGGGAGATACAGACTTAATAATTGCATTGCCACACGAGCGCAAAAAAGTAGCTCTTTAACTTTTTCCATGACGTTCTGAAATCCTGTGAGTCTGGTGAATTGGGGGCTTTGTGTAGAGCAGTACTGAGCAGCTCGTATGCCCTCCTGAGACAATACCTGAGGAGTTCAAGGTGAGGGGCTTCATGAACTGGGTGGTGAGGCAAAGGCTCCTAACTGAGGTCCTGGGTGACGTCGTGAGCTCTGCCAGGGCCGGTGGCGCCCACTCCCACGCCTGCGGACACCTAGTTCTCAGCTTGGACACGTGCTCCTTCTTTGTTCTCCTCAGGCGAGGCCACCCATCCCCAGCAGTGTGCACCTCCAGCTGCAAGGACAAACTCACTGTCCACGTCCTGTGTGAGGTGCTCCAGGGCTCCTGGAATGGAAACTGTCCCATCCCCCCAAGTGGAGGCCACTTGGTCAGCTGGAAGCTGGCAGAGGAGGTGGCCGATGCCTTCCGGTTCTCCCCAGTCCGCACGATTCCCCCTCCACTCACAATCCGCAGAGGCACACACGTGGCCTCTCGCCTCCTCTTGCTTTTGCCGTTTGCTCCCATGAACCCAGGCAGGACAAGGTGGGCCCAGGTTGGCAGTCGCATGGCAGGACAGGCGGAGGCGTTGGCAGTGGATTTGGGGATATGAGAGGCAGGTAAGAGCTGACATGCTGGGGTCAGCTCCTCAAATAGTGCCTGTTTGCTTTCAGAAGAAAATGTCCTCCTCCAGTGAATAATTTAAGTACAGAAGAAAATCAGTCAGCCACGGATGATCGGTTGAGTCAGTGTTGTCTGGCAAGAAAGAAAAGCTTGCCACCCCTGTGCTTTGAGGATGAACTGAAAAATCCAGATGCCAAGGTCATCCACGTGAGTCCAGCAAGGAGCACACCTCCTCAGGAGGTGAGAACAACTCTGCTGTTGTCCAGTGCATGCTGAGCCTCAGGAAGGCCATCCAGGCAGGGATCACCCCAGTGCAGCCTGGACTGTGCCCATGCTGGGCGGAAACAATACCTTCTTGTTTGTTTTGTTTTTTAGAAACCATCACAGTGGGTTCTAAAACTAGATCTTGGCTCATTTTTACAGTGATTGTAGTCATTGATGTACCCTTTATACGAGAATACTGTGTACAATGATCCTGTTTTCTTATTTCACTATTTACATTTTTTGGGGGGTACCGGGGATGGAACTCAGGACCTTGTGCTTACAAGGAAGGCAGCAGAACCACTGAGCTAAATCCCCGGCTCAATAGTGACGTTTTAAAAGAAGTGAAAATTGTTGATGTTAAATTTGCAAACTAAATACTGATAATATACATATTACCAGTTTCTTTGGAGTTGATCTTTTTATCAATGGCAAAAAGTAGAGATTATGAAAACTAACAAAGGAAAAAGCTTAAAAAATAGCTCCTGCAAACAGATTTTGTTACTACTGTGATTAAAATGGTCAGTTTTTAAGTCAATCTATTACTTTGGCTATCTTATTCCACAGATATATATATATATATATATATATATATATATATATATATATATATATATATATATATATATATATATATATATATATATATATATATATATATATATATATATATATATATATATATATATATAGAACACTCATGTGCCAAGTGTTGTACTAAATTCTGGGGTGCAATAATAAGTACAATTATAGAGATAATTTTAAGATTTTAAATTATGCACTACAGTGTCCAGACATGAAATTTTGGTGAGTAATCATGTACGTCCATTGTGAGCTTTGACGCGGTCCATATTTTGGAGAGGGATATACTTTGCCATTTCTGGAGCATGCAGATCTAAGAAATGCTGACACAATGTTCTATTCTACCAACTCTCTTGTAACTCAAACATTTAAGAAATACATTAATTTCCAAAAGGATTTAGAAGGGCAAAGGCTCACCTTTGATGCCCTAACACCCGTATAGAATATTGAGAAGGTAGGGCCAAAAATGGTGGCACATGCCTGAAATCCCAGCACTTGGAAGGCTGAAGCAGGAGGGTTGCCATGACTTCAAGGCCAGTGTGAACGTAGTAAGACTCTCTGTAAAAAAAAGAGAAAAAAGAAAGAAAGAAGAATATTGAAAAGGATTTATATTACATATGAGTGACTTGGTTTTGTGCATTTGAATACTACTATTTTTTGTATTAAATACCTGCACAGTCATTTTTAGAATACTTTACAATTTTATTTTCATGTTTAAAAATACAAAGTAGCTTTCTTGCCTTGCTAGATTTATGACTAAGTACTCTTTTCTTTAACCCACAGGAACAAAATGACAGGAGTCCCATAATTTTCCATGATACACAATATATACAAACATTACTTTTGACAAAAAACAGCTTTTCTGCCTGTATTTTGGAAAATGAAAAAATGTATCCATGTAAAAAGACAAATTTTGTTTTAGAAAGAAATTGCACAATCCTTAAATCTTTAATTGATGATGAATCCATTACTCTTTCCAAACCCCAAAAAACAACGCCCACAACAAGGAGAAAAGATGTACAAGCCAGATCTTATGAAATGGGCCACCGAACTGTAAAAAGTAAACTAAAGAAGAAAACTAAGACTCAGACATTAGAAAACAGATCTTGGAGTACACTTCATAATTCCTCACAGACTTTTTCCAGCCTAACAATAACAGCTGTGGACCACCTTGATAAAATTGTCACTCAGGAAAGAAGTAGGACAGATGTCAAGTTTGGAAGAGTACTTTCTATGGTGAAACCCAGAAGCCCGCACAAGTTAAGTGCCTTACCTCTCAAAAGTTATTCAACGCTCTTAAAAAATACACTTGATGTACGTAAATTAAATAACGCAACACCACTGGATGATTTGTTACATTTGCCAAAAGAAAATTAAATCACTCCCCAAATGTTATCTATACAGCAGTATTTGGGTAACGAGAAGCAAACAACCCCAAGTTCCACGACCACAGAAGTTCTAGTCCAAATAGCAATGTTCTAACGGGTGGTGTAAGAAAGAAAAGCATGGAAATTGGAGTTAAAAATTGACAGTGATCAACTGTCAGCAGCAGTCAGGCCGTCACCATCACTCCTACAGTGCAGCCTGATTCACAACCAAACATGATGCAGACAGACTGGAAATTTCCTGCTGGAAGCTGAATAACAACACCAATAACCTTGTTCTATAACTGTCCGTCAAAAAAAGATGAATACTGTTAACCAGAAATGTGGAGGTAATCACATAACAGTATTTTGTAGACTCCTGGGGAAACAGTATGGCATTAGCAATTTATGCAATTAAAAATGCTTTGTAAACTTTAGAGTGGCTTTTTATGTTGAAGTTCAAACTTCATTGTTCTATTAAAAGTACATTATTACATTGCTGTTATTTTGCTGTTTCTCATTAACTTGCCATTAACTCAAATAATGTAAAGGCAGAATTCATCTTAGAAATAAGTTATAGTTCAAATGCTCATTTATAATCCATTGCTTTGGAATTCAGAATGTTTTTCCACACAAAAATCATCCTGGGGCTACTGAGGGGGTAGCTCAGTGTAGAGTGCTTGCCTTGAATGTACAAGGCTCTGGGTTCAGTCTCCTGCACAGGAAAAACTGTCTTGGAAGTGTAGTAATCAATTCCAAATTATCCCACAAAAGACTACTGAACTTACAATTTTATCTTACAGAGTTTATCTGAAAATAGAAAAAGTGATTTTAAAAATTTGAACAATTAAAAAATAAAACTGAATAAGAAAATGATTTTTTTTCCACCCTAACCTTTAGGACTTGTGGAGAAGCAGGTTGGGTGAGAAGCATGTAGGTCACGGATGGCAAACCTGTGGCACTCATGCCACAGCAGGCTGTTTGTATCATTGAAAGCTCTCAAAGGTTCGCCATCACTTATCCAGGCTAAGGGAAGGCTTGGGGGTCTCCGCACCTTCAAGGTGAGCTGTGCCTGTTATCGTGTGGTGGATGCAGCTGATAGACTCCAGGCTCTTGTATACCACAGGCAAAGAACTGCTAAGTGTACACTGGATAGCAAGGGAAAAGCAGAGAAGATCATGGGAAGATGTGCTCAGGGCCACGTCTGCACAGAAAAGTGGTGCTGGGGTGACAGAAAGGAAAAATCACCTCACACAGACTAATCAGCCTTTCAGAATCTGAAAGATAGGCACTCCGTCATGGGTGTCTCCCACTGGGACTCTGGGGAATCTGGACAGGAATGAATGACAAGGTTCTGTGTTACCTCAGGGGCTCTCAACACATGCACCTGTCCCAGAATGCACTGTGACCTTAATTACATGTATGAGATACAGTGCATATTCATGAGCCCTTAGTGAGGTTTGAACAGAGTAAAGGTGACTGAAGGTCAGGCCAGGAGATCTGACATCTGCTCTAGCCTAGGCTTCCAAGATTTCCTGGCTTTTTGTTATTTTCTGCCTCTCTTGGGACAATGGACAGAGGAATGGCCCTATTGTGCCGTACAAAGGCAGGTGGGTGGAGGGGTGTGATTCCTTAGCTCTGTTGTTCTAACTGTGCTAAAGTAGTTTCAGCCAATCACAAGGGGCCAGGTTTCAGCCAATCACAAGCAGCCCATGCACCCCCCCCCATATAAAGCAAGTGGCTCATTACACTTTGCCCAAGGAAGGCAGGTGCCTAGCAAAAGCTCATCAAGTGATTTCCCTGCTTGGCTTCTGCATTCAGACAGAGTAGCAGTGCCTGGTAAATATCTGCATGCTGCAGACTCAGCTGTTCGCTGGGTGAGCGCCAGCATTTGGAGACTGAGGCAGTACAGCCCTGCACAGGTCCACGGACCTCTTATGCTGAGCTCCGCTGTCCCAACAACTCAAACTGTTACGATGCGATGGCCTTTCGCCTACCTGCTGTGTCTTCCCTCAGGTGCTTTCGAATTTGAGTTGGAAGGGAAGGGATTATTTTCTAGCCCCTCAAACACCAACACACACATCTTCCATGTATTTTCCCAAAAGCTTCTTGTCAAATATGATTCCATTCACATCACATGTAAGATTTCAAAAGCCCACTCGAAAGATGCTTCCGGAGAGGAGACAGTTTTACCAGGTAGGTCTGTGTCTTACCTGTGATCTTCGGATCCCTGGCCCTCAGCGAATGCAGAAGGGGTGACAGTCACTTGCATGCCAATAACCTTCCCTTGCTTCCTGTGGGGCACAGCGTGGGACTCAGACTGTAGTATCCTGTTGTGTCCAAGTGCGGGCCCTCACATATTCCCACTGCAGCGCCCGCCTGTTCATTCTTGGAAATTTAGCACGGGTTACTTACCCAGCAAGAAGAAGAATGGAGAGACCTCCTGGTGAATGCTGAGGTGAGACTTCCTGACCTTCGCCATTCTGTAGGCAGCACATCTGGAAACTTCCTGCTACAGAGAGCAACACATCCTTGTCACAAAGAATCCACCTGTCAAAAATAGGTTTCGAAAGGAAAGTTTACTCCGGTGGACAGGGACTAAAGTCAGGAGATCATATAGCAGCTCGCGGGGAAAAGCGGAGTTGGTCACCTTTGCGTGTGGATGGACTGACATGGCAAGAGAGGCAGCAGCAGCCAGACGGGAGAGATTCCATCCATGAGCAGATGGTTTAACACCGGGGGACAGATCACAATTAACTGGGAAAGGAATTGGGCTTATATAGGCATTGAAGGGGCTAAGGAATCTGGGGTGACATCCTGACGACTTGGATGCCCGAGGACGTCCTGCTCACGTGTGTACACAATCACTGGACTTCTCAGTGCCAAGGGCTTGTGAGTTTCATTTTGAGTCCCCTGTCCTGTTCACTGAGGAGCTGCTGCTGTTTGCTGAAAGCAGCCTGTTTGCTTTGTCCTCTTGGTTTAGGCAGGCCTCACAGCCCTCAGCATAAGAAGTTAAATATACAAGGTATGATTAAAAATATGATGAATGTTTAAACAAATAATTTATTACATTAGCACACTGCCACCTATTCCCCCAGAACACTCCGTCAGGCTTCAAATACATTTATCCAATCATTCCTGTCACTTTCTGATAGGCAATAAACTGAAAGTTTTGAAGTTATATTTTCTCCTGTAGGGAAATCTTTTGTATCTCTAGAAATAAACTGTATCTGTTTTGTTAACAGACAAAATGCTTTGGGGCTGAGGCCTTGGCTCAGTGGTTCTGTTGTCTGCCTTGCAAGCATAAGGGCCTGAGTTCGATCCCCGATACCACTTTCTAAAAAAAATCGGCAAAATGTCTGAACTGCTACTGGGTTTGTCAAGTTAACGTCTTCTAAATAGCCCGTCCAAAGCACACATTCCTGTTAATTCATCCTGTGCCTGTCCATTTCCAGTCCTCCACTGAACATGTGCTGTAATCGTTTCTCTTATTTCTAAAGAAACATTTCCCTCACACCTGGAAGCCATTCGGATAATTAAAGACACCACAGACAGCTCGTTTTCCTCCGGAAGTCAGGTGCCCGGGAGTCATACAGGTGTGTATGAAGAGAAGGGAATTTTATTTCAGTACCTGAAGGGGGAATTTAAACCAGTCATTATTAAGCCATGGGGTATTATCAACAATAAATCCTGTTTACTGCCTATTTTATTCTAAACCATTTCTTTGCTGTAGATATTATCTGCCCAGAAAAGAGGTAGGACTGTGCACATTTGGCTATAGCAGTAGCAAGAAGAGGAGAGCTAGCTACACTGGTAGTGCAACGCCAGGCTCCCTAGTAGCTTTCAATTTGTCAGCGTGCCCGCAGGGAGTAACAACGGTTAACCTGGTCCAACGCCACGCGTTTTTGTGAACAATTAAGTTTCAACTTAAAACACGGGCTCTCCGTGTCAGATATGAGCTACCCGTTCAGGGGCTCTAATTGCAATCGAAGCCCTGAAGACCGTTCTGCTTCATTTGCGTTTTTCTCCTAGAACCCCTGCTAATTTGCTCTTTTACTCTTTCTGGTTTTGTTGTTGTTGCTGTTTGGCTTAGAGATAAAAAGGGTCTTGAAAATCTTCTCGACTAGAGTGGTCCAATAAAATGTTGTGCAGTGTGGGGGTCCTGTACCTCTGCTGTCAGCCTCGTGGCTTTAAGTTCGTCTCATGTCTGAAGAGCAGTGACACTGTGAGCAGAAGGTTATTTGCCACTGATGATGTCAGAGAGAAAATTCCTCTCCCAAGCTGAGAAAGACTCTGCACCATCATCCCTCCAACTTCAAGCCTGCTCCTGCCACACCTTGGCAATCTTATTTACTCCTCGTATCAGTCAGCGTTTACTACAGAAACAGAAATAACACAAGATATACAAATATATAGGAATTTACAAGACTGGCTCATAGTGGCCGCCCACAGAGCCGGCTGAGGAAGAGCGCAGAGGGTCCGTCTGCAGGAGCTTGCTGCAGGGTCCATGACAGTACGTATCAGGAGGCGGCTGGGTCTGGGCCGGAAGCGGAAGGATCCGCAGCGGAAGCCAGGTGAGGACATCCAAGGTGCAGGCAAAGACTGGAGCTCCTCTGAAGAGACAGGAGCCAGCGGATCTTCCTTCTCCTTTCCCCTTTCTACCATCCAGGTGACAGCTGACAGCTGAGGGTGTGGAACTGCTGAGCCAAGCAGAGGAGCTCCTCCTGCTCACACTGACACAATGCATCAGCCGTCACACTCCTGCTGACACCTCTCACACACTCCACGTGGCCCCTCCCACCTCCCGTAGTTCAGTTTACTTCCGGTTTTCAGTTCCCAGAGGAGAACAGAAATCACTGGTCAGCTCTGAATTCCTCCATGCAGTGAGAAATTCCAAGTCGGTTATGGGTCTGCACCGACCTAGGGAGGGAGCCAAGGACGGTGGAAAGAATACTGAATGGAGACACAAGAGGCCAGTTCTGTGAACTCAGGGTTGCCTGGGCGAAGACCTGCAAGCCTCCCAGATCTGGATTCCCTACCCAAGTGCCAGGAAGCATTGTCTCTTCAAGATGTGCGATGACCATGCCGGGTCTAGACCTTTAAGATTCTACCTCCTTCCTCTTTGCTCGCCAACGTTTTAAAAGTAATGTGTTTGCTGCAGGCCCTCGCTGGACGAAGTGCAGTGTGCAGTATGATTAGAAATTCAAAGAAATTTTTTGACAGGAAATTGTGCAAGATGGACTTCATCAGCATTCCTTTGCTTGTAGAGCACAGATTTGAAGCAGTACTCCTGTGATTCTGGGTGTGAGGATGTATGTTTTGTAAGTTTCACTTACTGGTAATAAAAAGTCAGCCAGCCACTAGGAGACTAAGTTATTTTTCTATTATTTCTATGAAAAAATATATTACAGAAAGTTATTATTACACACAGAGGCAGTCGAATAAATAGCCACAAACAGAAAAATAAAATAGAAATGTGGTAGGCACTCCATTGACGCTCATCTTCTGCTGCTTGTCAGATTTTTTTAATGCCTTAGTTCTGCCTTCTTTGAAGTATATGTCTATTTTTACCTCATTTTGCATTTTCATTTTTTCTTAGAAAGGGCTCACAACTCCAGGCACGGTGGCACATGACTGTAATACCAGCACTCAGGAGGCTGAGGCAGGAGGATCACCATGAGTTCAAGGTCAGCCTGGGCTACATAGTGAGTTCAAGGCCAGCCTGAACTGCATGGTGAGATCTTGTCTTGAAGAAAGAAAAAAAAAAAAAAAAAAAAAA